GGAAGGGAGGAGAGAACAAGAATAAGAAATGAACAGAAATAAAGGAATGATTCTGAAATAAATTTCCTATGTACTTACACTAATTAGAATAAGATATACTCTGTGTTTGTATAAATATGTCAAAATATACTCTACTGTATAACTAATGTATAAATAAAAAGAAAAAAATAATTAAAAATAAGAAGAAAATTAAAGTAATATCCCACCAAGGTCCTGTCTATTCTTTGTTAAATTTTTTAATGTTTTGGGACTCATGTGCAGTGCTGGGCTCAAACAGGGCCTCATGAATGCTTGGCAAGAGATTTACCATTGAGGTATAACCCCAGTCTATCATTAGCTTTTTTAAATTTAAAAAGTAATACAATGAGGGGCTGGGGTTGTRGCTCAGTGGTAGAGCGCTTGCCTAGCACATGTTGAGGCACTGGATTCAATCCTCAATTCCACATAAAATAAATTAAAAAAATAAAGTTATGAAAAAAAAAGTAATACAATGAAATTGTGACAATTTCAATACARAGACATATAAGTAAAAAATAAAATCTCTCCCTCCAACCAATTTAACTTCCCTAAGTATCAGTTCAGCATGTTTTTAATACCACAATGAAATAAATGTGTTTATACCATGTAATTTTTTTTCACATAAAAATGGATTACACTGTATATTCTATTCTACAACTTTTCCATTCACTTAATATAGATCATGGATATATTAGATCTAATATTTTCCAAAGTGCTTTCTTACCTGATATCTTTTATCGTGGCCCTCTTCATGGGATCCACCTGCAGCATATGTTTCAAAAGGCTAATCACAGAAGGATTTAAATACTGAGGAGTATAAAAAATCCCATCACATATCTTCTTAAAAAGAGTTGGCACATGATCATCATCAAATGGAAGGGTTCCACACAATAAAGCATAGAGAATGACCCCACTGCTCCATATGTCTACCTCTGGACCTGCATATAATCTGTAATGGGAAATACCAATTGCATTAAATAATCATTAATGATGTCAGACTCAATCAAAAATTTTAAATATGGATACTTCATAAAGAATTATTATTTAAAATATGGGTTTTATAGCTACTGTTGCAAATCACCCATAAACTTAATCTCCCATAAAATCTTAATTCAATCAGAACTATCTTAAAAACAAGAGTGAAGTTTTATAAATTATAGATCACAGCTAAAATTCTGTTCTTATACCCTCAAAGAATCCCATCAATAGAGCCAAACCTTGAACAAACAGATCACTATTGAATTTAAAACGTGGTTTTGTTACAAAGGAGATATTAAATTATTTAGTGATATACAGAACCCATTGCTTCCCAACATACTGGAAGTGGCTGAGAAAGTAGCCAAACTAAGTGGTTCATAGAATATTTTAAACTCTTATTAAGGTACACTATAGACATCTGCCTTAACTAGTTGCAGACTAGTTAAATCATCCATTCAGACTACCTTCAAGAGGAAAAAAAAATGATAAAATTAAATTGTTKAACTGTTCAATAAAGTAAAAGTTCTCATTCACTCAGACCTCAAATACTTCATCCAAACTAGGGAAATCAGATTTCAGTAATGGCAGTTGCACCATATGCATAATCATAACACATCTCATTTTTATTTATTTACACTCTACCCAGTTTCCAGGTCCTGAATTTTTCCTCTCAAAATAATTAAGATCAACAGACATAAATAAAATAGTAATTTAAAAAATAATTTTGGGGTGACTGGGGTTGTAGCTCAGTGGTAGAGTACTTGCCT